ATCATCAGCTTCACATTCAACCATTCATATAGCTTGTTTCATTACATTGATTATTATCCCCTCCATATATCATCACCTTTAATCAATACTTCCAATATACCTGTTCCTGGCCTTTTTGAGTCCTCTGAGGAGACTTTTTACTGTCTCGGCTTTAGAGAGGTTTTGGTCCCATAGTTGTATATGGACATCAAAGGCTCATGTTTTAAGTTAATATCAAGATACAGTTCTGACATGCATCCCAGGTGGCTATTGCTTGTTCCTCAAAAAGATTTGTTCCCAGGACCCTACGCACTGCCAACACAGTGGAGACATTAAGAGAGGCACATAAGAAATCATTTTCTCAGAAGCTACAATTACTGGAGTTAGAAGCATAGAATGAATAATAAGACCAAAGAAAATTATACAGAGGTAGCCTACCAGTGAGTTCGCAAAAACCTATGAACCCGGGACTTCAGGAGGTCACTTCCTTGGCCCTCAGGGTCCATGGCTTGCAATTCTGAGGAGGGCCCCTTTGGATTTTCATCCAACTTGTCACGGGGCCTCAGCTTCTCAGTATGCTGTCCCCAGCATTTAGCCAGAAAGGCAACTTTTTGCCCAGTAGCCTGAACCCGTTCCTCCTCTTTCTGAAGTTGCTCCTTTAAATAAAATATGCCTTCCTTACTCGAAGTAAGCAAAAATGTCCTTTGAAGATTTTCCTTTTCAGCCAAACAGAACTGTAATCTGCCAGTCTCCTCTTTGAAATGAGTAATCATGTTTTCAATCTAAATTGTTTAAAGCTTGAACCTCTGACACAAACTTGGTATTTTCGATTTCTGTGTTCTTCCAATGTATCTTACAAATTTTCTTCTCATCCTTTTCTGTCTTCAGCTGGCTTTCGAGTTGTTCTCTTTCTGAGTTTGTGCCTTCCTGAGTTTGCCTTGTAAACTATCTAGTTCTGTTTCTTACTCAATTGTTTTGTGTGTCACTGACACAATATCTTCTTCAAGCTGGAGAGCTTTTGATGTAGCATTATCACATTTCTTCTTAAATTCTTCATTTTCCATTTTAAAATTTTGTGATATTTCAATAAAACCCTTTTGCTCCGCTTGTAACTGGGCACATTTTTCTTTCTCATGGTTAAGTTCACTTTCCATTCTTTCAACTTGTTCTCGAAGTTGTGTAGTTTCTTTTGCCAGAACTGCAGTTAACTTTAACAGTTCTTTTTCTTTCATGATTTTCTCAATTTTCAACTCAAGAAGGCCAGCTTTTGTGGTCACCACCAACATGTCAGAATCTCCTTCATCCTCCATAGTAAGCAATTCTTCAACTGGAGAAGCTGCTCTAAATTGGAAAGGTGTACTTGTTCCACAGATTTCACCCTTATGGGTAACGTAACAGAATTGATAAAACTCTCCATCGTCATTTGGAAGGTAATGTCCTTGAAATGCTAGGACACAATTGACTGTTGATCCCTCAACATATTACTTTTCAGGCATGTGGTGGTAGTTATGTGCTGTGGAGTTGGTTCTAACTCATAGCCACCCTGCAAAGGGTTTGTGAGGCTGTAAATCTTTATCGGAGCAGAAAGCCTCATCTTTTTCCAGCAGAACAGCTGATAGCTTCGAACTGCTGACCTTGAGGTCCGCAGCCCGATTCATAACCACTACGCTACCAGAGCTACTAGGGGACCATAAAAATGTTTAATAATCACAAGCAGTGCTCCACCCAACCTTGAATATACCAACACAATCTTTTGGATGTGGATGTATATATGGAGTCAAGGTGTAATGACATCCCAGATGTGCATTAGGAAGGTAACTCCTGGCCACATTTTTAAAGATTACATGTGCAAAGTTGGATGTCTGCAACGGAACTTCTTGAAAGGATGTCGTTGTATATCCATGAGGAGGCTCCAGGGCAGAAGGGAAGCGTTAGAGATGACCGTGACCCTGAGATGCCATCAGCTGCCCAACCTCTAGTGCCACCTTCGCTTCCCTCCCCACATCTATTCTTATTTGTGGATCAACTTCCTTCAATTACTACAATTATGGATATCTAGAAATTGACAAAGACTGACCCAGTCTCTTCATTTCTATGTGTCTGTTCTTCTAGAGAGGGAGAATTTACAGTGGAGGTCCTTGCCTTTAATGATATCAGCTTTGCCACCCTGAGAAAGCAGCTTTTCATTGTGTACACACCCTGCCAGCCCCCACCAGTGAAGAACATGGGGCCTGAAAAGGTCCAGGTAGGTACACTAGTCTCCTTCACTCTTCCCTCTCCTTGAACCCGGTGCAAGAAATGGCATGAGCTCTGGAGGATGAAGCCATGCTTTGGTATGCTTCTTGTTGATTTTGAGTGCCGCTGGGTCAGTTCCAACTCACAGCGACCCAACTTCGTGGTTCGCAGTCCACTGCTGATCCTATAGTGATACCAGGACTCCTTTTAGTGTTTATCCTGGTGTGTTTTTTAACATAAAGGTGTGCCTGTGAAAGGGTTCTGAGCACCGAAGACCAGTCCACGCTGCCTATACTGGAAGGGAAAACTCAGATTTTGGGCATGGAACTAAGCCTTTTATTTGCCCATATTACACTGGTATTCAGCACAGCCTGCTTTAAGGAGGCTTTCTTTTCTTTTTTTTTATTGTGCAGTGAACTATAGCCTTCTTAGGAGGAAGAAAAATATCAATATATACGACAGCAAAATCACAAGAATTCTTTATTTGTTGAACACTGTTCATTTTTCCTTGGAGAATCACGTTTGAGTTTGCAAACTGTGGGTTTAGGGTTAGGAAAAATAGTGTTTCAATTTATTTCTTTAGTTTTGTGGAGGCCTTTGATTTAGAGCAAATTTTCCTTTTCAGGACAAAGTTAATCAAATAACAATTGGAATTAAAATCAGTGACTTAGCTGCATTTCCTAAAATGTTTTCTGTAGCACTGTAGCTCCAGGAAAGTCCCAAGGGCCCCTCCCTAAGGGTGATAGCCACGACAAACAAGCACATCACGACACTTCAGGGCAAGGCTGTATTCTCATGGGAACCGCATTGCACATGGCTGCCTACCATGGGACTCACTTCCTGTAAGATCCGGCCACTAAGCGTCCATGTGGAAGAGCGGGTCATAAGAGATGGAAGGGACCTAAAGCTAAGAGCAATCACAGGGCACGGCACAGGCTGATTGAATACTGACTGCTTCTGTGGTAAGGAGCATGAGCATCTAATACCTTGAGGAAGTACTTAAGAATGGGAGAGAAAATTCTACTGATAATTTCAAATTCACGTGTGACAATCACCTGAAGTACTTTTTTCTACCACAGTAAAACATACAAGTGAGGCGCGAGAGAAAAGGTGATGTGGATTCTACACTACTGCTCCGAGCTTTGGACACAGACATTTAGGACTAGGAGTTGGGCTCAAACGTTTGAAGGGCAGATCTTGGCAGGATAGGCCGATGAACACTTGGAGGTCAGTCACGACGCCGTGATTGGCCGAAGTTGGTTGTTCCAGTTGGTTTTCCAATGCAATCCGTTCTTGATGAACTTCGTTCAGTTGCTGCTAAAGTTCGTCGTTCAATCTGGCCAGCGCTGCATTGGCATCTTTACTTTTGCGGATCACAGTTCGTATTGCCTTCTTCTGTTTGGAAGACTGTTTTGGGCCTGTTGGATGGGGTTTCATGCTTGGGGCAGACACTGGTCCACCTATAGTGGGAGGAAGCTCTTGATTTTCTGGAGTTTGATTCTCAGGTTTGAATTTCCTACGGATGGGCTTTGATGGGGGCTCGGAATATGGTATGTCCTTCTTGGTGGGGCTACTCTTCGAAGCCTGCGAGGGGGCTCTGCTCAACTGTGGGGGCACCTCAGCCTCGGCTGGTTGTTCAGACTGTTCCTGGAGTCGGAAATCCCCACAGTTGGCCAGCTGAGTTGGAGGCTTGTGCTGAGCACTGGGCTCACTGTTGACACGGTGCTGGGAAACCTGTGATGGACAAGGTCTCTGAGGGAGCCCAGGCGGCTGGGGCAATGATGCTGACTTCACAGCTGGATCCTCAGACACATCCTTCGGTGAGGCATCATCCGTAGTATGTATTGAAGCTACTTGTTTATCATCAAGAGTCACATCTTGGGTGACAGAGAAGTCAGCCATGTCTTGTAACAGACGTCTTCTCGCTCCAATGCAAGTCCCGAGGTTGTTGACTTCCTGACATGGACTCAGAATAAGAATCAAATAATGCACACTCCCACTTGGACGTTGGAAAGGCTGCCTGCAGGTCCTCTGGTTGCCGAGTTGGTGGCAGGCCCTCGGGCACTGGGTAACTGTTCATCGGGGCCACAATGAGATAAAACGTAGTGCAGAACTCAGGAGGGTCAGGGCCGCATCACAGCGTCGCTGAGCTCCCATATATGGGAGAGTTTGGGAGTGGAAAACTTTGATTTAGTGAAGAAGTTCTTAGCCACAGAACCTGAAATGAAGGAACTTGGGTCAGGCTGTAGGGACCGGAACGGATTGACAAAGTACTCTAGCTGTTCCTGGGTTATCCGCTAGGGTTCCTCTGGGTAATGACTGCTGCTATCCTGTGGTTGTCTCTCCACTGAAAAGGACCCGATAAGGGCTGCCTTATGCTCTGGTAGCGTAGCGGTTGCGAATCGAGCTGCGAACCTCAAGGTCAGCGGTTCGAAACTACCAGCTGTTCCACGGGAGAAAGATGAGGCGTTCTGCTCCCGTAAAGATTTACAGCCTTGGAAACCCTGTACGGGGTCTCTATGAGTCAGAACCGACTCCACGGCACATAACAACAAGGGTTCCTTGAAGACAAGGGGGCTTGGCTCCAGGGCCCCCGGATGAGGTTCCTTCAGGCTAGGCAAGAGACTGTCTGGCTTCATAAGAAGCTGGCTGCATCTGCTCTGTGCTGCTACGTAGCTTGCTGTAGCCATGGCTCAAGTGCACCCTCTGGTAATGAGGAGGAGAGGCGAAGGGTAACATCGTGGGAGACTGTTTCCTGGTGTTTATCCCCATTGTCTGCTCTTTTGAAGGTGTTTTTGTCTGTGGTTAAATATGGAATCTGAGCCTTGGTTCCATGCAGCTCAGCCGGAGTCCCAAGTCGTACTTCCCCATCGTTCTTTGATATTATAAAGCGAGGGGGGGGGGCGATTTGAAATTCTTCAATCAGAAAAGAGTCACTATTAATAGTCTGATGTATTTATTTTTAAAGAGTGTATACATGGTGTGTAGGTTTGCATACATCGAA